AGTAAAGTTTTGACAAGCAGAGATTCTACATTAAGGGAAGCTGAACGTGAGAGACCAGATGCCTTTACCTGCAGTAAGTAAAGTGTACACTAGAAAAGAGGGTAAGGAACCAGGAAGTAAAGGAACAGAGGTCTGGCTTTAGTGCATCTTTTAGGAGCACTGTAGCCTTGGTCAACTCCCTTACTAAGCAAAGCCTGCCTCTTGCCCCCATTGCAAACCTCGGAGAAGCTCGGCACGCCCGCATGCCTGGGCTGCAACAAAGCCCAGATATTACAACGTTCGCCCAAGAAGCCCAATGACCAGTTGCAGCCTGGATTGTTCCCGACCTCCTGAAAGGAAGAGTCCCAAGCTCTTCCGCAAGACAGGGATGCACCCCTTCCGGATGCAGGACCTGCCATGACAGCAGTTTCGATTTCCTAAGGAGATGGGCACTTCCCCCGTCTTTCAGCATCGCTGGCACTACAAGGAGCCCTCTGTACAGCCTTCCCCAACCTTGCGGCCGCGCTTCCTCCCAACACCTAGACCCCACTTAGCATTCTCAGTCCACCCAGGTCCCGCGGGGCCACACCGCGGGAGGGGCGTTGCCATAGGAACGGCGCAGAGGAACCCCGGGCACGGAAAGGCTCGAGACGCTAGAGAGGAAGGCTCGCGAGACACCCAGTGCCCCGTGTGATCACACCCAACCAACCCCTCTCGGGGTTTCTGTGTCCGGCCAACGGTGCCCTCACACCTCCATGCCGTCCCGCGCCGCTCCACAAATATCCTACCTTCCGCCATGTCGGGCCCGGCCCTGCCTGCAGCCTCGCGAGAAGTGCCTACAGACCGGAGTCAACCAATCTCGCGAGATCTGGGTGAAGGCGCGGCAAAGGGAGGAGCCTGAGCAGATGAGGGGTGAATGAAAGAGAAGCTACACCCCGCAGGAGCCGAGGGTTATTATTATTTTTATTTTACCCCCACCCCCTCACTAAACATTTTGGAGAATTTGCCAAGCACTGACTGATCTCTCATATTTCAGGTGGTCGTCAGGGCACAGCGAACGTGGACTACTCTGATGCAGAGACTGCTGATCTTTAAGTTACTTTGTAACCATGTAAGACGCTGTCAGAAAACTTGAATGACAGCATTTGTTCTGGGCTTTGGGAATTTTATGGCCAAAACCAAACTACAACTCATGTCAAAAATGCCACACACAGCCGGGCGATGGTGGCGCATGCCTTTAATCCCAGCACTCGGGAGGCAGAGGCAGGCAGATCTCGGTGAGTTCGAGACCAGCCTGGTCTGCAGAGCTAGTTCCAGGCCAGGCTCCAAAGCCACAGAGAAACCCTGTCTCGAAAAACAAAACAAAACAAACAAACCAAAAAATAAAAAATAAAAAGGCACACACACTGTCTACTGAAGTAGGGGTGGCAGAAACTGCAAGGCTCTGTAGTTATTAAAAATCTAGCAAAATTGTGAGATCCAAGGTCAAAGTTATCAAGCCAAATAACACTAGGAACTAAAAACACCCAGGACAGGAAAGAAATGAAAAACAACGGTAATTAGATGTTGGAAGATTAAACAAACAAACAAAAAAGACTGTAAACCAGGAGCTAAAACTTTTGGTGAATGTATTATTTAATAATAGCAAAATAGAAATGTAATATACCTAGATAACATTAGCTTATTCAAAACTTCTTTGGTTTTCGTTTTTTTGGCGGTAGGGTGGGGAGGAGAATTAAGACAGGGTCTCTTTACGTACATAACCTTGACTGTCCAGAAACTCACTAAGGAGACTAGGATGGCCTGATAAAACAGCTGCCGGACTCCGCCTCCAGAGCCGGGATTAAATGCAAGCACCACCACACCCGGTTTAAAGATTTACTTGGCTTGCTTAACTATCTTGTATAATTACAACATGTGAGGCCTGCTGTTCAACCAAAAGGCTTCTTTAATTCAGGAGAATAAAAATAATGTAGCAACAGTTAAGGAAGTGGTGCCATAGAGGACGGCAAGAATTTTAGGAAGATGTGCCACAATTAAAGCATTAGTGGGGTGGGTAGTGAAATGAAATTTGAAATAAATGGAATTTGAAATGAAATGGAATTTGGAGTTTAAATCATAAAAATGTAGGGCCAAGGGTTAAAATTCTGAGAAGGGGAACCCCTGGCTGATAAAGACCTAGAAAAAGTAAGAGGGGAAGGTACTAAAATACATTAAGAACAATTATGTACTAAAAACACATGTTCCAGGCATAGGAGACTAGAGAGTGAAGAAAGCATTGGCAGGGCAATGTTCAGAGTGGTGCCTCTGGGTTAGCGGCCTGTGGGTAAAGAACATAGTATTAGTCAATTTCAATAAAAGTGCCAGAGATCAAATCACCTGTCTGCTGATGGCTAGGTGAGCCAGCCTCAGGCATAAACTCTGCTGGCTGATGGCTAGGTGAGCCAGCCTCAGGCATAAACAGACTCCTCTATATGGAGTCGCCTAAAAAGTCTCAAGATCCTAACACTAAAATGACTTAAGTAGTTGCGAAGTGCTGATATCTGTTCTGCATGTTTTCTTTGTCTTCCTTTGCAACCTCAGTAAATTAACCTGAGCCTGTTTTCTCTTTTCATTTTTTTTTTTAACTTATTTTTTTTTTTCGAGACAGGGTTTCTCTGTGGTTTT